CGAAGCAGCCGGCTGGCCACGGAGTATGAACATAGCTGGGGACAGATCTTGTGTTAGCTCTTTTCTCTGGTCCTCTGCGGCTATTCTGCCCTTTGGGGTGGGTTATACCTCTTTCGGAGACCCCTCAAGTTTTCTTTCCTTTTTCTTTTCCATTGTATTCATCCTTTTTATGCAAAGCAAGGAATAAGAAAAAGGAAAGAGGAAATAAAACAGGCCTAAAGTGTGAAAACACACACGAAGTCCAGGAAGCGAACATAATGTTTATCTCAATGGCTGAATCATTAAACTCTGACCCCATAATAAAATGCTTAATCAAGGTTGATGTGGTTGAACGCTTCTTATCTAGAACCACCCCTTGCAGGTAGAAATCCAGCCACCCAGAGTGGTTGAGAGTCGGGCGGTGCCTAAATCGAATGAATTAAATGAAATCCCCGACAGAATTCTGGCTGAGCGTTTTCCCTTGATGTGCTAATTTTCTACATGCGGGTGTGGGTTGAATTACTGGGCAGAATGGCATCCTCTCATGGAAGTCCTTCTGGAAGCCTAGGAGGCTGGCAGAAAACTAAGTTGGGACGACCTGCCAGCTCGTTTCAAAAAGCAATTTCACAAGCCACAATAGCTGGATTGAGGTGAGCGGGCGGGATGTGAGTCTGTCGCCCTGCTGATCGGCTTCTGCAACTTGGTGCCCTCTAAATAGCTTGGGGTTCAACTTTGGGGACTTCTAGCCAGCAAACGGGGCTGCTTGTCCTCAGCCTGACCCATAAAAGCAAAGGAACTCACAGAGATGGGAAGGTAGAGAGGGGAAAAGGGAGAAAATTGGGGGTTGGCTATTCCCCCCATAAAAGTGGAAGTGGCAACCCGCATTTTTCTCAGTGCTTCGGGGCGGTTTTGTGGTTGTTCCCGGCCCTTCGTGCCTGGGGCGTCTGCAAAGGAGGTCCAAAAAGTCAACATGGCTGCTGCGATGATACGACCCAAGCCCCGCCCACTTTTTCTGTGCATCACAGACCCCATCTTGATGTTTTTGACCACCTGGCCCTGCCCTGCTGTGCTACCTAGTAATCATGCTTCAGACCCTCCCCGTCAGCACGGACCCCTGCCTCAGCTCAATTCAAAATAACCCCAAAGCTCATCCCAGCCCCTGCCCGTGTTTGTACTGAAAGGAAAACATCTATTTTGGAGCAGATGCTCGCCGTGACACCGGCACTTGGAACGGCGGATCTAAAACAAACAGGGGCTTGCCGAGATGGAAACGCTTTGCTTCTCCCCAGCTGATGTTTAGACATCTTCCGCTAACAGGCCTGACAAATGTTGGCTGTTTACACGGCTGGTGACAACGTTTGTGAGCAAAGCAGGCGAGGCAGAGGGGCGGGCAGCAAGGGAGGCTGATCGCTCGGGGGCTTTCTCCCCTCGATAAAATCTTATCTCATCGCAGGGCTGTGAGGAGCCCCGGTGTCTTCCTGAGCGTTGTGGGTCGTACTGGAGCAACATTTTCGGCAGGCGGTTCGGGTCTCACGATGGACGGGTCTGCCTCGTGCAGGATGGGACTTGGATGTTGGAGCATCTCGTGGGCTGAAGCTCTTGTCGGTGGAAGGCCCGTTTGTGCAGATGATGATGTGATTCCAGCGCAGAGCATTCCCTGTTGGGTGCTGGGGTGTCACCCTTCCATAACTAGCTCGTGCGTGTTGGGAAGTTACAGGCGTGTGCATAGTAGCTCAAGAACATTAGTTTGGTTTTCTTGGTATTCTTTACTTGGAGACTAAAAGGGAGACAGTGTCAGTGTTCCTAACTCTTTCTGGTGAATTTCTGCTGAACTTGAGATTTAAATCAGGGCTTCATGTCCCATTTGGCTCATTGTCAGGTTGCTGTGATGTGGCAACTCCTTTGAACAGAGTAGCTGGCCTTGCTCCTTCTGTATTGGCAGGACTGCGCTGAACTCGGGCTGGAAGACCGTAGCTGTAAATCAGAATAATTATTCACGTTTGGACTGTGTCTCCATGTATCAGCAAGTAGTTCTTTAATATATATTGTGTATGTGTGTATGTACGTCTCCTTAGATTTATTGTTTACGTTGCCAAACCAAACCTGGAAAGTCCATTTCTCCCCAGCTCCTTCTTACACTCCTTCCAGGTGTAACTTCCTGGTGGTTGCCCAAGAGAAGGGACCTCCTTCAGGCGTTTCTGTGAATTCTTTTGACCTGCTTTCTGCTAGCTCACAGCCTGTGTTCCAGTTTTTATTTGCATGAAAGCTGTTGCAGCAAAAAAGAGCTGCATTGTCCAATTCTTCTGAAATATGTTCTTTTGCCTTTCTTCTGTCGACACAAGGAGATGTTAATGCCACAGGAGGCAGACCTGCTTGGCTCCGGGTGGCTTTAATTAAATTCATTAGTTTAATTAACGCTGGGGGGAATTCCAGCCAGTGCAGTTTCTCCCTGCATGATGGGGTTTGTGATACTTGCAAAACCACCCCTTTTAGGCAGCTTGAGAATATGGATCCAGCAGCCTTCGCTTGCAGACAGTTCCCTTCCAAACCCCTGATGTCTTTCCCAGGACGCAGATCTGGATTTCAGAAACCTGCAGCAGGCATGTGGAATTGCTGGTTAGGCAAAAAGATTAGACCCTGGATCCCTTTCCCTAAAATAGCGATGTAAGGGCAGGTAGATTCCTTCAGGACGAGGTAGCTGAACTGGGCCGTGACCGTTATGGGAGAGACTTCCAGGGGGTTTCTAAGAGTGGAGGGCTGTCAGAAAAATTCAGACTTAACAAGAGACCGCGGCGTTCACACCCTCCTGGCTGCTTCTGAAAACGCTTTTGGCTTCCTCAGAGGCACTGCCAAAGTTAGGTGTTTCCACCCAAGCTTGATGGCTCTTCTGACTTGGTCAGCAATCAAGCTTGGGTGGACACAGCTTATTTGGGAAGCGCGTTTTCATGTTCTCCCACATCCTAGCAGCTGGCCTGTTAGAGCAACTTGGGCCACAAAGCTTCCAGAGTTGGTATGACCCATCCGAGAGGCTGTTTTTCTCATCGCATTGGAGGTACACAAGAACCCTTGCCTGAACAGGCACAGCGCACAGGGCTTTTAAAGGCTCCGATGCAGAGGTGAATAAACATCTGGTTTTCAGAAGGGTGCATGGAAGGCAGATTCCCTACTCACAGGGTGCTTCTTCTCCCTCAACGTATAATCTGAGCCTAGACAACTGCAGGGGTAGCTGAGAAGACAGTTGCCCCCTTCCAGCTCCTGGGTCCCTCAACTGACAGCATCTAAGGAAGCTTCTGTCATCCTGCAGAAAAAGGGAGCATTCTTCACATGACGATGGTCGCGAGTGTCCCAGGGTTTTCGTCACGCCGAGGGCCTTCCAAGATGGGCTGCTCAGCTCCCTGGGGGGTGTGGAGAGGCATCCCATTCCAAGCTGGTTAGGATGGATGGGGTGTAAAACCTCCTAAATACATAAATATCCCCAGACCTCTGGAGAACCTGCCGGTTGGACAACCTGGTCTCAGCTCCTGGCTGCTATGAAAAGGCCAGCTCGGCCGTAAAAATGGGAAGAGCTGAAATGCAAGACCAGAGGAGGACCAAAACCCAAATCTTATGAGGCGAGACCAAAGGAACTGGATACAGTTAGGCTTGCGGGGAGGAGAGAGAATAACCCGTCCTAAGGACCGAACAGAGTTTCACCCAAAAGGTGGCCAAGACCTGCCATCATAAGGGACGTAAGTCCCAGAGAAGGCAGATTGGAGTGGGACATTAGGAGAAGCGTCCTAAAATTGAGAGCAGGTGGCACGCTTTGATGGAGAAAGGCTGGCTTGCGTAGTTAAGGGGGAAGTTGGCATGGCAGGGAACATGATGGGCCCTTGGCTCTTCAGGTGGAGCAAGGAAGCCTGGCCTGATGTGGCTTGTTTGACTAACACCTAGGCCTCTCTGTCCTTTCTGTTTCAGAAACTTCACTTCGCTGAGCAAGGAGAATGTCTTCGAGAACAACGAGTTGGTAAGGTGTTTTTTCCCCTCTCCCTTCTGCTTCCTGCTCACTTCCCCTGAGGGTGTTTTTCTTCCCATCGCTTTCTCCTGCACACTTTGACCTCAGGTAGATTTGATCAGAACAAACAGGTCGTAAATCAAATACTCAGCACCATGAACTTTCCTTTTATAAAAAAAGTCGTTCGCTTGGTGCACACGATTATTCAACGCTCCCGGGGCTTTGTGTATTATTGATTTGCGTCATGCTTTAGCTGGGCTGGTGGAGCAGGTTAAACACCTGTTTTGGGCACTTGGTGCACCCTGAATGTGGATGGAGCCCACGTTGGGGGTGTGGAGGAACCCCAAAGTGCAGCTGGAAGAGATCAAACCAAGAAAGACGGGGTGAGGTGGGGTGGGGGAAGGCGAGCTAATTCTGAAAGTGAGCTCATCACTTTCAGTTGAAGGCTGAGTCTAGAAAAACCAGTTTTGCAAGGTTTCCAGCACAATCAGTTTGAATGGAGGGAAAGTTGGCCGGGGGTGAGGACCCGCTGGCCGAAGTCTGAGCCACCAAAAGCATCAGTAACAGCCACGCTCCTGAACCCGTTTTGCAGCCGTTTGGCTATTCTTTGCTATTTCTCTTGATTGGATGAAATTGACACGGAACGGTCGCTGATGTTGACCTTAGACTATAATCTTCTTCTTGGGTTGTGCACCGCGGGTTTTGTGGTTCAGCCGCATCGGTTGGCTCGATCCAAGTGGCCCGCGAGCAGCTGGGATAAATAAATAAATGAAATTTGGAATCGGGGGGCAGGTTGTGGAGGCTGTGAAACATGGGGGAACAAATACAGATACGGGTTTATGGAAGTCCAAATCTTGAATGCAAGTTTTACAAGGGGGGAGAGCTTTGTTGCCTCTCTCTCTCTCTCTCTCTCTCTCTGTCCTCCATTCCTAATTTATCTTCCCCCCAACCCTGTAAGGTTTAGGTTTCGAAGGTCTAGGGAGCATTCCTGAAAATCAGGGACCAGATCTGCATCTGTGTCTTTCTGGTCTGGCCCTCTTGCCAGTACGTTGTGCTCCCTGGTCGCAATTTGCTCCCTCCCCAAATGTGTTCCTCCCGACTAGAAACCGGACCTCCCTTCACCCTTCCTTACTCTTTTTTCGTGTTTTTGGAAACTCGAGATGCCTGGAGGTTGAGTGTCTGGGGAAGCCGATTGTTGTGAGGAAGAGCCCAGATGTTTCTGAGAGGAAGCAGACTTGGACCACCCATCAGCTCTGTGCCGGGTCCAAAAATCCAAGCGTGGGACGAGGGCTGGGGGAATGGAATGTCCTTGCCCCGGCGGAGAATCTGGGCTTCCACGCTGAGTTTCCGTGGCCTGGCTGGTCTTCATTTCCTTGGAGCCAGGCTTGGAAATGAAATTCTTTTCCTACCCACACCAAAGGGCCTTTTTCATGGGGACCAGCAGAACTGGCAGCCAGTCGTCTCTGCTGCTGGATTCAGTTTCAACACACGGGCCTCTCTTCCGCTGCTTGTAGAGCGTTTGGAGTTGAACCCTGCTGGGAAAACTCTCCTTCAGATCAGGGTTGGCTCCTGGGGCCTCCAAGGCCGTGTGGGTGCACTTTTCGTCGCAGAAGTGTGTGAGCGTGATCGGAAGTGTGAACCTGATGGAAAAGAGTTCTCCTAATCACTTTCTTCGTTTCAAGAGGACATAAATGGGTTTTGGGGAAGGGGAAGGGGAAGGGGACGGCCCCGGCTCACGTTTTCCCAGGGGAGACCAGGACTCCAGACCTGAACTCGTTGGTGGGTTTCTGTCATGCAAAACGGTTTGGCCGTGGGTCTCCGCGGTCTCCTTGGGCTGGTTAAAGAGCAGAATGTCATCTCGCCTTCCCTGTTCCCACGTCTCAGGCTTTCCGCGTGGCTGAGAAGGAGCTGGGCATCCCGGCTTTGCTGGATGCTGAAGATATGGTTGCGCTCAAGGTGCCCGATCGACTCAGCATCCTCACTTACGTCTCCCAGTATTACAATTACTTCCACGGCAAGTCACCTAGTGAGTATCTCTCTCTCACTCGCTCGCTCCCTCTTTCCACATTTTGGACTGGTGTGAAGTTCTGCCCACACCGCGATGGTCCACTATATTATTTATAAATATTAAAAAAATAA